GAAGAAGAAGAAGAAGAAGAAGAAGAAAAAGAAGAAGAAGAAGAAGAAGAAAAAGAAGAAGTAGAAGAAGAAGCAGAAGAAGAAGAAGAAGAAGAAGAAGAAGAAGAAGAAGAAGAAGAAGAAGAAGAAGAAGAAGAAGAAGAAGAAGAAGAAGAAGAAGAAGAAGAAGAAGAAATAAAAGAAGGAGAAGAAGAAGAACAAGAAGAAGAAGAAGAAGAAGAAGAAGAAGAAGAAGAAGAAGAAGAAGAAGAAGAAGAAGAAGAAGAAGAAGAAGAAGAAGAAGAAGAAGAAGAAGAAGAAGAAGAAGAAAAATAAGAAGAAGAAGATGAAGAAGAAGAAGACTAAGTCAGTAACTATAGTGTCGGCTACGCTTGTAAATTAAAGTCTTGTGTTTTATCAAATGTAACAAACAATTGCTTAACGTCAAGCATGACTACAGTTGTGCATGACGGATTAGTTGTATTCTTTTGTTCAAAAAAATAAATTAAAGATAATGTCGACCAACAGTGTGATTCATTGTTTCCTCTTATTCTTTCATTTAAAAACAGCAAATTAGCGGTCATTTCCCCTCTCTTGCAATTGACGAATCACTATTTATCACATACGTAAGCACTATATAATAACGTTATTGTTTCACATTTAAACACATTAATGCAATAATGCTGACTGCGATTTCAACTGGCCAATTAATCGTATTGGCGCATTAAACTCAGTTAATTAATGGTATAATTGATCACATTTGTGACTGATACAGTTCTCCCTTTGGTATATTTAAACACAATTAATTAACGCTGATATTTATGAACTAACACACACTCTAAACTAAGTGACCAGTAGGAGACATATGTGATATATACACTAAAATAACTGTTATCACTTGGAATCACAGTAAACAATTGTCATACATTTCATTTTAACACTTCATTAATTATTCAAAGTAGTTCTTATTGCTGTCTCTTCTTGTGTCACAGAAGGCCATCGTGTGCATTTGGTGTGAACATTGTAATTAGCGAGAGAGCTTTCCAGCAAATGCAGACATAGAAGCAATCCGTTAATCTAACATGTATGATGCGGATGATAAAATATTAACGTCAATAACAAAAAGAACAATAACAACAATGAGAAAGATGTTAATAATAACAATAATATTAACACAAAAAAAAAAACAATTAACAAAGATGTTTAACAATTTTAAACTAAGAACATAAAAGAATAATACTGAAAAAAAAAAAGAAGAAGATGAAAGCGATAAGAAGAAAAATAACTATAACAGTAATAACAGCAACAACAAAAAAGGATTTGTAAACTGATGTTGATAAGAGACAATAACAATAAGACTGGGAAAAATAAGAATAACCGTAATGATCATAGTAACTATGCTGAGAATAATAATAATTATTAATAATAATAATTAAGGTGATTAAAAATACTGATAAGAACGAGAACAAAGATGATAAACAAAATTTTAAATATAATAACAAAAACAACACAAGAATAATATCCGCGACGATAATAATTGATAATAAAATCTTAATGCCGTAATCACTTTCACAATAACCTGTGTCATTAATTTCTGACTTAAAAAAGTGTTTTCTAAGCTTGGTACATACTGTGGCTTAGTCTAGCATTGATTTCGGCGGCATTTTTTCTCGTCAGAAAATTAATTGTATTTCATAGTTCATGTTGATTCCATGCGTTCCATGACTTCTCGTTTTGCTTTTAATACTCAAAGTCAGGTTAAAAAAGTTGAGTTGAGTTGAGTCAAGAATTGACATCACAGCACTCGGGGCATTCCCATGCATGCTCCGTCCTCATCGTCAGCAGCCAGCGTAGAGTTCCAATACTGATGGCACTGGTCACAGTCTGATTAAAAGTCCGTCTTGCCTTTCCTCTGAGTGAAGTGAGCCGGCCAGACCCTCTAGGTACACCCAGGTGACTCATTCTCTCCAGGCCATAACAATCTTCTTTCTCTACTGATTCCGTTGCTTGTTCTCAAAGGGCCTTGACCACATCTACCTTGTCATGTATCAATTCACCACCCGGTGGTGGGGATCCAGCCAATCTGCCTGCCTGTTAATCAGTCAGGTTAAAATCTATCAGGACGAACTTTGATGCCAAGTGGGCACATAATCGTGACTTTTTTTTTTCTACGTTGTCATTTCCAGATTAAGTAGCATGTTGGCAGTTAAATAGCCAGTATGAAAAAAAAAAATTGTGTTTGCGTTACGTTCAAAAAGACCAAGTGGAGGCTAGCGGGAAAACCTGATTATTTGGTACGTATGTACAGGTTGGTTGTGATTCAAGGGAAGACAAGTCACATCACAAGTTGCATGGAATGGAAAGAGGTAGTGGAAAAATACAGAGACAACTATTCACAAGCACTCAGCGAGGTAGAGAAAAGAACCGTTTAACTGTCGTCGTAAATGGTTGCAACACGAAGTTACGAAATTGTGAAGGCTATTTCAACATTACCATATGAAAGTGAAAGTTTGAGAGCACTAAAAACATGGAACGAAAGTTAACTGTATATAAAACCAAAAGCTTGAAGACATTGCCAAATATAAAATGAAATGAACTCAAGAAAGGCGAAACAATTAGAAACAGGTCTGGACAACCACTTGCATAAACAATTAAAAGAAAAAAGAATGTGACAATATAAAAGACACAACATGCGGAAAAGGGGACAGAGAATCGGTGTACAGGAACTGAAACTGTAAACAAATAGACTAAGGAAACGAGGACAGCGGAAAGAAGCCCTAATACGAAGGATGAAAGGCGCCAAAGGTGCTTGCCTTTTTCCTGTCCATGTTATTTAAAAGATTGACATATAGAATTGAATGGTGGACTAGACAGCGAGGCATGCTTGACGTTAAAGTCACACTACCAGATGATAATGATGATGATAATGAATTGACTACAACAGTGTTATTACATGCAGAGCCATATAAAACTTTAGGGGCTTTGGTAAAGCTACTATATGCGTATACAGTATACAAAAAAAAAAAAAAAAAAAAAGAAGAAAATCACGGAATTTCCGGGAAAGTCCAAAATTCTAGGGGTGTTATTGGCTTAAATTAACACTGAAGCTATAATGTGGTTGGATAACAGTAAGAGAACGCCTCCGTGCCTGGCACAAAATCAGACTGATCTCTGTCAACCCCGACTGCCCCAGAGATACCGAATATCTCTGACACCAACCCCTCCCCAGAGACACCGAATATCTCTGACACCAACCCCTAACACCCTAGAATACTGGGAATTCTGGGGAACTGCCAAATTTTCTTTGTTTGGGGTAAATTAAAATTGAAGTACCAAGTATACTTCCGGTGGTTTATTTAGGGCATCTTCTTCTTCTGTTGTCTTATGGCTTCTGTCGCTAGGCGTCGCAGAGAGGAGTTAAAAGTGTTTCCTGTCTTTTTCTAGTTGCGTAGCTTGTGAGGTCATACTGTATTTCTGTAATGTCTCTTTTACTTTCTCCGCCCATCTCTTTCTTAGTCTACCTCTTGCCTTTTAGCCTGATGTTCTCGTGTGTTTTAGATGTATACCTTTACAATTTTTCAATGAAATGACAAGAAGCAAATGCGATGTAGATTCGCTGGAGACGATCTGTACTATCGAGATGCCATTTCACTGACTCTGTCCCATGCGGGCACACTAAAGGAAATGGAAAAGTTTAGTGGAACACTAAAGAAAAACCCTTGAGCCTGTCTCATTAGACTGCAGAAAAGAAATTTGGCCCATATGAGCGACTACTGAAGACAAACTGGGAGCCATGGCGAAGACCACAAACGCAAGGTCCTGTGTGCAAGCCAATTTGAAATAGTCTGATATGGAAAGAGAGTTGCTAGGTGAAATAAAAAAGAGACAAGTGAAATATTTTGGCCACATTAAAAGACATAACGGTATTGTAAAGATGATCCTAGAGGGAAAGGTTCAGTGTAGGCGAGCAAGAGGCAGACAGCGTTACAAGTGTGAGGATAACATCAAGAGATTGACAAACAGCAAGCAGTATGAGTGAGTGTACATCAAGGGCAAGAGACAGGGCTTGTTGGAGATCCAGTGCAGCCAACCTTCATTGTGGAGACGGCACCTGATTGATTGACTGATATAAAAAATAAAAAAAATCGACAATAAGACTGTGATGGACCATCTCGCTTATTGTGCTTGTCTGCAGCGGTATGTTCATTACAATACAGGCAACCGGTATGAAGATATAGCCATGCAATGGGTGTCGTTGACAGCAACGCTTACTTAACCATGGGGACTTGCTTATTCAGTGTAATCGCAGCTGCAACAGTGCATCGATCATGGTCTTAAAACAGCATGTTTATACAATCCATATAACTCTTCTGTGTATACGATTATTAAAAGATTTTTCAGTGACAACAAATGTTTAAGAATGTGGATATTGTTTTCACTGTTACAACAAAACCACAATCCATCTATCCTTTTGGTGAGCAGCAACACACGTTTCTATTCATGCAGTCGCTTTGAAGCTCGACGCCTTTTGGTTATATACAAGTTTTCTCTGCTACAACAAACACTTAGAATTGTAAACACGACTTTTCCTCGTTATTAGAATGCAGCAATCCAGAAATCATCGATCTTGTTTTCAGCAGCATGTTCATTACCATCCAGGTAAATGTTATAATACTATAGATATACACTGACCTCGTCTTGACCAGGAAACACTTAACAATGTTGTCACGGTTTTTTTCAGTATGACATGAATACAACGATTCATGTAACATTGCTGTTGTCTGCAGAGTTGTTACGACGCTACTACATACAATAGAATTTTTAACGATTTGGATACGGGCTTTCTTTGTTACAGCAATGCAACATTGCATCTGTCATTATGCTTGTCCCGAGCAGCATGTTAATTATTCTCCATAGAATTGTTATGACGCTCTGATTGCGTGGTCACGTTCCCGCTGACAACAAACGTTGAAAAAAGCCACAATACAACATCATTGCTATTATTTACTAGATAACGATTGTTAAACGTAGCTATGATCCGGAGAGTAACCATGTGTATGTGTGGATATTCCGTTACTACTAGTTAATGGAAGCGGTCTCCTTTCATTGTTCATATGAGAAACTGCGACTTCGGTCGTGTTACATTGTACACTGTTTCCTATGCTTTCTGGCGCCATTTTGTCAGGCTGTCTGCTAGTGACGGAAACATTTCTCAGATTGGTAGCCGTGTCCCTAGTCTCGATAGAGGATTTACTTTTGTACTGGGAAGGTGTAAGTTTCATTTTGAGCCAGCCAGGTCTCGAGGAAGGCTGAGATGGGCAGAAGATTGCGGCGAAGGTCGTTCTAAATTGTTTGCTCATCGTGCAGTAGAGAACGAAATTGACAGAGTTATTTATGAGAGCCATAATATCCAAAAGATCGCCGAGTTTGTAGTAGACAGCATCCGTGAAGCACGGAACGAAGATATTCATCAGTGTGAGAATACCCTGCGGTAGTTCTGTTACGGTGAAGAGGACTACAATAGCCAGAAGCATTCCTGTGGTTCTATTGTGTTCTCCGTGCTTATCTGACTCGGCTCTGCGACCCTGGGACTTCAACTTTAGCCGCTTCCGGTACGCCTTATGCATGGCGTGCAGAAGCAAAAGGGTTAATGTTACTAACATAAAGCATGGAACCAACTTGATCAGAATTGCCTGTACCCAGCTGTTTACCAGATGGGTCACTTTATTGATGTTTGAGTCTTTTTTGATATCTGGAAAGTAAAAGGAATCAAAATTTGTATTGATATGCTCCACCAGTGAGTTATTGTGTAGAGTGTGAATAGTATCTGTCCCAGGGTGGTAATTGAAGGTATTGACGGCGTAATTTGGAATGCACAGAATCATCGTTAAAATAATAACAATCACAACGACAAAGCACGCCCGTTGTTGGCTGCAGTAAAATGACCCTCTGGTTGGCTTACATATAAAAATGTAACGGAAGATCGCCAATGCTATGGTGAGCCAAATGGCGACTGTATGACACACGATACTAAAGCTGGCGTGAAACAGCAGGAAGCATATCCAAGTATATTCAGGTGTGCTAAAAGGTGGACCTTTCGTGTCAACTGGTTTCATTATGTAGAAATGAATTGCAAAGGGAAGGTAATCAATCATCGTCAGAAGATCAGCAACTGCCAGCCAAAGCAGGATTGTGTTGGTACTGGACGCCATGTTCTTCCGAGTGAGAACAATGATGTTGGCAGAATTGGACAGTACTCCGAACAGACAGACCGCCACGGCTATGTAACCATGTATGCGGCTGTACTTAACACTAAATTCGTACAGACCATGGACTGTTTCATTACTGGCAATCCCCGGAATGTACTGAACTCCTGTACAAATAAAGTCGAACACTTGCTTGTTTGTATCACTTGCATTTTTCAGAGGTTCTGTCAAATTTGAAGGCAACACAACGTCAATCAAGTTCTCAGCCATAGCAATGGAGAAACCAATATCGTCCTTATGATGGCAACGAAATCAAACATTAATGGTTTAACGTCGATGTGGGGTTTAGTTGACTCCAAAGGTTATGCAGAGCTAGCGAAACCAGGCATTGACTTACGATCTGAGGTGGCAGGCATCCACTTGAGAAATTAATCTTGGATGCCTGTTTGTTAGCCGCCTCTTTCTATCATCTGTAAAGAATAAACAAACTGTAATGAGTTTTGCATAAAAGTTATGCCAAAAAGGTGCAAATCAACACTATATAATAAACACAAGGAACCACCGTAGAGCAGTCGCTATGCGAATTCCTATTGAAAAGAAAGTTTTGGGTTCAAATCCATATCGAGGTGGAGTTCTGTAATAAACTAACAAGTCACAAGCAGACTGAATATTAAACTGGAAGGAGGAAATCTTCTATGAGGTAAAGGCGCCGGAGAGATGTTCACCATATCACCCAAAAAGTTTGGAATATACAAATGTGGGTCACATATGTTGTGCTCTATGCCACGTGATAGTGCCGTTTCTACGATAAAAATCATTCACATCAAGTGTTTTTAGGTTAACAACTGCTATTATGTTCTGGTTGATGTAACAACGGGTGGCTCCAGTGTTGTTTTCCTATCTCGCAGGCTATGCAGTATATTTAGTAAAAAATTATTGTCCACGAAACTGAAAGACACACAGCGTTTACTCCCTCCTACGGCACTGATGATGTCTCTCCTGTCCATAGTAAAAAGATTGTAACAACAGTCATTATCGTTGATTCTGAGCAGAACATTCTAGCCAAGAGACCACACGCCCAAATGTGAGTCTTTACATTGAATTGTTAATTGCTTATATTGTGTAATTTTTAAAGAAATTGCAGTCTTACAGCATAAGGCAATCCCAATAATCACAAAGAAACATCTCATACAAAGCGTATTTATTTCCACCATCTGCTATCAGCGCCAAACGTGGTCACTCACAAGAAAACACAAAAGCGGTAATAACCATGGAGATGAGGTGTCCAGGAAAGACTGTAAGAGTGACCAGAAGA